GGGGGCTGCAGGTACCCTGCATGGGGGCAGCTTTGCAAACCCAAATGCTTCCCAACCCCACTTTTCCAGGCTTTTATTTGCATAGGAAGCTGGTGTCCCTCTCAACAAATGGCCTGGGGGGGCAAAGGGGGTGAGTTGCTCTGCTCATCCCCATAGAGAGGGCCCCAGGTTGTTCCCCCAGCTCTAACCACTCCCAGAAGGACCCAGGCTCACCCCAGTTTGTTAGAAAGATTTTATTTCTCTCTATTTACAGAATCATTAAAAAAAATAAACAACAAATCCCTCCCCTTCCCTCATCCCTCCCCATGGCACTGCTCAATCCCAGCCCTGCCCTATGGGTGCAGGGTTTCCTGACCATGGGGGCACAGGGCTGGGGCCAAGCCTGGGACCCCACTCAGGAATGAGGGTGCCCAGGGGGTCAGCCAGACCCCAGGAGACACTTGGCAGAGTGGCATCCCCCTAAACAGTGCCATCACATTCACATTGAACCCCAGTCCCCCACAGACCTCCTTAATGTTTGCCACAGGGAGTTGAGCCAGGACTCCCCAAGCACCATTGGGGTGACCCCATTCTGTACCCTCCTCCTGCCCTCCATGGGGCAGCAGGGAACAGCCCCTGGGGCAGAGCTGGCCCCAATCCTACCTGGGCCCCCCCTTATTCCCCCTCCAGGACCCCTTGTCCCCACCCAGGACCCCCTGTCCCCACCCAGTGCAAGCAGAGGTTTATGGCTTTCAGGACTTAGCCCTACTCTAAGCAGAGGAGATAAAAGGAGGGACAAGGGGATCCTCCCAGATACCAGGCCCCTGGGGAGGGTGACAGTGCCAGGGTGAGGGATATAAAACCTTATAAAATCTTATAAATTAAAGATATAAAGGGAATGGAAGGGGTTGAGGTCACCTTCCCCAGGCCAGTGCTGGGATTTGGGGGGCTGAACCCCCCCCAGGTGTACAGAGCTGAGCTGGGGGAGAAGAGATTGGGGTTGGCATGGGGAGCCCTTTGTTGCTTGGGGGCTAGGGGTGTCTGGGGGACCATAGAGGGTCCCCCATCCTCCTTCCCCCAGCCAAAGCCCTTCTCAGATTCAAAGCTGGGAGTGAAGCCAACAAAGGGTGGGCAGGAGAGGAATAGGGGGGCAGAACTTTGCCCCCTCTCTGAGTCCAAAATCCTTGTGCAAAGCCCTGTGTCCTCCCCAGGGCATCCCAAGCACCCCCCAAACAGGTATTTTGGGAGGGCACAGGCAAAGGCAGCAACACCCCCCCCTAAAATAGGAGGAGATTGAGCTCAAAGCCACCCCAGAGCCTGGCTGGGGGGTGCCAGCACCAGGTCACTGGTTGTCCCCTGGCTGGTACTGGGGCTCGGTGGCAGTGAAGTAGTCCTCGAGGAAGGACTGGAGGTACTCAAAGGTGGGACGCTCCTCGGGCTCCCTCTTCCAGCACTGCACCATCACCTCGTGCAGGGACTGGGGGCAGTTCCCCGGGCACTGCATGCGGTACCCTCGCTCCACCTGCTCCAGCACCTCCCGGTTGTTCATCCCTGTGTGACAAGGACCCTCTCTTCAGCGACCAGCACCCCAAAGGGACAAGCCAGTGGGGGAACTGAGGCATAAGGAGGAACACAGTGCCATTGCCCCATGGTTTGGGTAGTAGCTTAGTGATGGTCTCTTTGATGGGGAAACTGAGGCATAGGGCAAGTCTTGCTGGGGAGGGTCTGCACCCTCTGCCCAGCCCACTCCAGGGGTGCCCACTGCCCAAGGGGGTCATACCTGGGTAGGGCACTCGGCCTTTGGTCACCAGCTCAGTCAGGAGGATGCCAAAGGACCAGACATCCGACTTGATGGTGAACCTCCCATAAAGTGCAGCCTCCGGAGCTGTCCACTTGATGGGGAACTTGGCACCTGCGAGGGGAGGCAGGTGAGACATGGCTGGGACACCCTGCTGCACCCACACCTTAGTTCCCCCTACCTGGGGCACCCACATGTGGGGACGCCCTGCACCTGGGACATCTTGCACCTGGAGCACCTGGTAGTGAGGGTGTCCTGCACCCAGGGTACCCTGCACTGGGGACACCCAGCACACACAAAACCCTCTGCCTGGGGCACCCCACACATGGGGAATCCAGCACCCAAGGCACCCTGCACTAGGGGCACCCTGCATCTAGGGTGCCAATCATATGGGGTACCCACTATCTGGAACACACATAACCTGGAGTAACTATTCCCTGAGATACCCATCATTTGGGGTGTCCATTGCTCAGGATATTCATTCCCTGGGTCATCCATCCCCTGGGACACTCATCATTTGGGGTGTCCATCACCCAAAATACCTATCCCCTGAGGTGTCCATCACACAGGATAACCGTCTACTGGGGTATCCATCATTTGGGATGCCTGTCACCCAGGATACCCATCCCCTGGGACACCCACCACCCAGGCCACCCAGTCCTGGGGGTGACCAGCTCCAGGCTGAGGGTGGGAGGCAGCCTGGAGGGGACAGGGCAAGGGTGCCCCCAGCAGTGGGTGCCCAGCCAGCTCACCCTGCCGTGCTGTGTACTCATCATCCTCAATGAGGCGAGCGAGGCCGAAGTCAGCAATCTTACACACCAGGTTGTCTCCCACCAGGATGTTGGCAGC